TTAACCCACTGAGCCACCCAGGAGCCCCTATTATTTTTTTTAAGGAGGGAGAGTGGAAGCAGTGGCAGTGGGAGAAAGAGCAGAGGGGAAGGGGAGGGAGAGAGAGAATCTCAAGCAGTTTCCACACCCAATGGGGAGTACTACCCGGGGCTCGATCTCACAACCCTGAGATCCTGACCTGAGCAGAAACCAGGAGTCGGACGCTTAACAAACTGAACCACCCAGGTGCCCCTCAAGCATTTTCCTGAAAAAAGAAGAAAAAGTTCTCATTAGATTCTCAGAGGGATCTATGTCCCCTCACTAAGTTAAGTACTGCATAAATGCTGTATTTCCTCCCAACCAGACAGGCGAAACCCTTTAGTCCCATAAGCTTTGCCTATTCTAGAAACGTGGAGAGAAGGGAGCCTTTAGGTTAAGTCCAAGAAGATCGGGTAGGATTGAGACGCTCTGAGAATTGGAATGCGTCATTTCATCTTGTAATGAGATGGTATCAGGGGTGTGAACGCACACTGGGTTGTTGGAAATGACCTGTCAGGCAGGTGGTCACCAGTAGTGGTCAGGAAGGGCACTGCCATTTGCTCTAGAATGTTTTTCTACCTTTTACAGACTTGGAATTCTGTATCAGGGGATCCCAGACCTAACTCCTTTCTCTCTTCTGCCTTAAGATGTGGACCCAGAATTGCTCAGGGCCAGAGCGGGAGTCCGGAGGGTGCACTCCACTCCCAAGCCTCGAAGGAGCTCCTCACCTTTTCGCCCAGCTGCCAGCCTTTGACAGGTCCCAGGGCTGGGGAACCTCCAGTAGCAGCGATCTAGCATGGAGAACCACAGTCATCAAACTGAGAGTGTAACCACACAGAGCTGAAAATTGGGACCAGCAGAGAAAGGGACTTGCCCTCCATACTGCCCTCTCCTCACGCCGTCAACGACTTCAACCCATTGCATGATGACGCATGTCCTAGAGAAGCTTAGCACTCTCCTGAGTACCTGTTCTGGCAATTTCTCTGGCCCGCATGTATCCACTTGGTCCCTCTTCCATCTGTTTTCAATACTGCAGCTAGAGGGATCTTTTCAAAACACGGATCTGATCATATCATGCTCCTCTACCTAAAAACACTCAGTGGTCTTCCAGTATGGTCTACCAGCCCTGATGTCTGGCCCCTGCCTCTGCCTTCTGGCTCATCGCTCAGACTTTCTCCCAGCTCTGCACTGGAGCTGGCTCCTAGCACTCCCAGAGCCAACTGGGAAATATTCAGGAATGTGGTGGTAGCTGGAAATTCACTGTAGTGGGATTATTTATACCAGAGAAACCAACAAATGCTGAAGATAAACATTTCCCCCAGAGAGCTGGTTGACCAGCACACTGCGGCCCCACGCCACTGTGCGATTCCACCAAGGGGTCCTTGCATAGCCTGCTTCTCTCCCTGGAACACTCCTCCTTCTTTGTTGAGTTAACTTGACTCTTTTAGACCTCAGTCCCATTGATACTTCCTCTGGGAAGGCTTCCTTGGTGTCTCAGAACCTGTCAAATGTCAACCTCAAACCTGTCCCTCTGAGCTCATATCACAGCTGTAATTTCACATATGTTTGTGTGATGAATGATTTCCCTCACTATCATTGCCCCATCGGCCAGCACAGGACCTGGTACATGGTAGAAACTCAAAACATTTGTTGGGTTAATGAAAAAGTTACAGAAACAGGCACTAGACAGGAGCTTTGGGATCTGGGGGAGGGACTACTATTACTCCAGTTTCCTTCCCGTCCAGAATCTACTGTTGTTGGCTTTGTCATGTCACCAAATCCTGGCCAGGGCAGTAGGGTGAGACCATATATACTGTTTCCAGCCATGGCCTCCGAAATGGCACAAGTGGTCTTCAGGGCTCTCTTTTCTCCATCTGCATGGCAGTAGGAAGCAGGAGCCCAGCCTGAATCACTGATTGGAGACAACTAAACTTCCTTGAACTATGATAGGAGCGAGCTGTACTTTTATTGTGTTAATCCCTGAGGTTTGGGGGTTACTTCTAACTATTGCAGGACTGCCTCTACCCTGACCTAAAAGACCTCAGCATTGTCATTAACTCCTTCTGCCCTTTGGCAAGCCACAAGCTCTCTGGGCCTCAGTTTTCCTAGTGGTTAAATGAAAGGATCACACAAGATGTTGTCTGATATCCTTCCAGTGTTAAAAATTTGCTGGTTCTGCTTGTTTATTTTCCTCCCTCCTGCCTAGTACTATATGCGGGTATGACAAATGTTTGTAGATAAGAGAACCTCCTATATTTGAAATCCTTTCCCCCAGATAAAAGCATTTTAATACCTTAGAAATTCTGAGTGGATGCTCAGAATATTTAATCATCCAATGAGTAAAATATTGGTCCAAATAACGATGGTGACATTTTATCCAGAGGCTAGGAAACCTTCTGAGATCTACCTCTCAGCCTTCCAGAAGCTCCTCTAAGTGTCTTGTTCTGTTCTTGGCAGTCTGGGGGCCCCAGGAATTCTAACCATTTGCAGGCCTCCTCCTTAGACTGTCCCAACTGCTCCACTCGGCTGACTCGGTCATCCCTCTTTCTCAATAGAGATGGTCCCATTTTTTCAAAGGAATCCACTCACGCCTTTCCTTAGAAAGATGTCATGAAAGGCTACTGCCTGGATATCAGTAACCAAGAAGCCAGAGTTGCATGTTTGATGAGAGGGAGCATAGGAGACACAGAGTTCTGGTAACTGGGTTTCAAATCTCCTATCCTAGCCCTGCCATCGGTTCATTCTGTGTGAAAAAGGCGAAAGACAAGCGGTTTGTCTTGGGCTGGGGTCCCTCTTCCTGGTAAAAGTGAAGGTCACTGCAGTTGCTGTCATCCCGGTAACAATGAACCACATGACAGGTGTATGATCTCCATCAGACAATGTCTAGAATTAAGTGCTCATCCTTCCCTCACCCCCCCCACCCCCCATCCTGCTAGGTGTTGTGAAGGTTCTCCCAGGGGATTAGCTCAGGCATGGGAGATCCGGGCTGACAGCATTAATTAAACTGCTCATTTCCCCAGAACATTTTGCATTTGCCAGGCCCGGGAGCCAAGAAAACCTCCAAGGGAAGCTCCTATGAGAGAGAGTGCTAAGTCTACCACCAGGGACCGAGGCACCGCGTTCAGTCCCACAGTTGGCAGCAAATGGAGCTCGTAGGAAAATGTGCCTGGCATACAGCAGGCACAAAATAAATATTTGTCGAAGAGTCGGTTTAATCAAATGGAGCTCATTTAGCAAATGGGATTCCTTCCAAACCACTGGAATTCTTGCCTCAGATGATCATGTGAGTCATTCACCCTTTCCACGATTCCTGAGTACCTCCTGTAGGCACCCATGGGTGACAGTATGAAGGCTCTAAATCTAGCAGCTTGCAGAATGAATCCCAAGTTCTTCGAGGCTCAGGGCAGATTAGAAAGTGTGTGGAGGGGAGTCTGAAGGGCAAGGCAGGGACCACATCACAAAGGGCTTTGGATTTACCCGGAGGCTCCTGCATTTACTATTGGTGACACTTTGAAGGCCTTTATGCATATGAATGACGGGATCAGCTTTGCATTTCAGAAACATCCTTTTTAATGAGACAACTACTTGACCAGAAGAATGATGTTCTAGAACTTCTGAAGCCAGGTCTTAAGAGAACGGGCAGCTCCTGCCTCCTTCCTCGTGGAAACTGGCTGCTGTGCAGCTCCAGCCACGTAGAGGGGAACCCCAGTGCATCGCTGACAGCCAGCTGTGGCGCCCAGAGGCAGCCAGTACCAGCTGCCCGACATGTATGTCCCCCAGCCCAGCAGAGTGCAGGCGCTGGAGAGACACCATTTGCAGCAGGAAAAACACCCAGCGGAGCCCAGTCAACCCACAAAAGCATGGTTCTAAGCCACCAAGTCATGTGTGGTTTGTCACGCAGGGGTAGATAAGGTACCAGGAGGGGTCACTTATGCAGCTCAGCACAGAAGGTCTGGCGGGAGCCATGCTAGACTCAGGAGCCATTGGTTTCATGGGAATTCCAAAGCCCTGTTGTGGATGAAATTCTCTGCCCTCCTTCTCACATGTATCCTGCACACCTCAAGTAAGCAGACACCGCAAATGCTTGCTGAATTAAATGAAACACTCCACATAACACAACACACTGAAAACCACTGTTTTCTGATCTAAGGCAGGGTCCTCATGCCTGGAATTCTAATCTCGCCTTACTCTAAGCATCCTTGTTTTATTTCCCCTTTCTCTGAATCAAGTTTGGACTCCATGCCGCTGCATGTGATCCTCTTTGTTCTTCTAAGGCAAGTTCTTTCTCTGAGTGTGACACATGGACTTGGACTCTGCAAACCTGGGTTTGGGTTGAGGATGCCTGGATTTTCCCAGCTGCCTCACATCCCCTACCAGCCTCCGCTTCCTCATCTGTGAATGGAGACCCACAGGCCAAATGGGGTCGGAAAGCATGCTAAAGGAGATCCAGATAGAAACAGAATGGGCGCCGTGATCTTCACCAGGACACGGGCACAGTCTCAACCCCAGACAGCAATTCCCTTCTCCTTGTCGCCTGCTTCCCCTCCCCCATTGCAGAGCAAAAGCTGGGCAAGTTCAGGACAAGGGAACTCTCCAGCCCTTGTGTGTTTGAAAATCTCCTGGAGGACCCAAGTGTCTACTTCTCCGGGGCAGAGAAGGTGAGAAAGGAAGGGTTAGTAGTCTGGTAAAGTGACCCCTACCCAGACGGAGCCGCAGGCCTGGGTCGGAGCCCTGGTTTGCCTGCTCACACAGTGTGACCTCTGCGAGCTCCTGCTCTTCTTGGGGCCAAGCGTCCTCGTACAGAAAGCGTGAAGAATGGCTGCAGACACCCCTAAGGTTTCAGGCATGTGAATGCTCGGCGGCTGTTGGGGTGGAAGGGTCTGGTCACGTGTCGGCGGGAGGGGGTGCGGGTTGACGCGGAGCGGAGTGCGGGAGCACCAGCCTGCTCCGGGCCGGCCTCCTCTGACGTCCTCGCAGCCGCCCTCCCTCCCCGCCCCCCGGCGGCGGGAGAGCAGCCGGCGCGCCCGGATCCCAGGAGCTGCCCGGCAGCGGGCCCGGCTGGGAGGGCGGTGCGCGGCGGCAGGACCGAGCCCCGCGCGGGGAACGGGCACCATGGTGCTGTCGGTGCCCGTGATCGCGCTGGGCGCCACGCTGGGCACGGCCACCAGCATCCTCGCTCTGTGCGGGGTCACCTGCCTGTGCCGGCACATGCATCCCAAGAAGGGGGTGCTGCAGCGCGACCGGGACCCAGATCCCGAGAAGGCGAGACCCGGCGTGCTCCGGTCCGCCCAACAGGTGAGCGGGGGCGGCGCCTCGGCCCCCCGAGCGCGGTGGGGTCTCAGCGGCGGCTGCAGCTGCGGGGAGACCGGACGGGGGGAGCGGTCGCTGTTCTTTGCGCCACCAAGCGTGTCGGGGAGGAGGGCGGAGGACGTGCTCGAGGACCCGCGGAGAGGTCCGGCAGGCCTGGGGGTGGGGGAAGGGTCAGGGAGAATAGTTAGGGGAGGGAGGCTTGGTGGGGGCGCGAGAGGAGTGGGGTCAGCGAGCGCTAAAGGGGAGGGGGTGGGACCATTTGGGAAAGGGGATTGGACAGGACAAATAGGGGCTGGGAGGAGAGTTGAGCGGCTGGGAGGAAACGGGGGGGGGGGGGGTTGGGGGATTAGAAGCTTGCAGAATTGGGGGAAGAGAAATGGGGACGGGAGAGGGAAGAGAAGTTGGGGGGTCTGGTGTAGGGAAAAAGCACTGCCTTAGCTGAGGAGGGGGAAAACCACGGAAGAATGGAAAAAACGAGAAGGGTGGTGGTTGGTTGCTGTTCCCGTGGGAGCTGGAGAGGGGCAGCTGGTCAGGGAGTGCCTGGGGTCTTGGGGGAGGCTGGTGAATGTGGAGGGGCCTGAAGGACCTCCGCCCCCTCCCATCAGCCCTCAGCTCCAGCCAGCCAGAGGGGCTTGCTGTGGTCTGTCTGAAGATGTCCCTGGAGACAAGAGGGCTTTTATCCCCTGCATTGGCTTGTACCCAGAGCCCCTTGGGGCAGGAAGTGGGTGGTGTCCCCATTGTGCAGTGCGGCAGAAGGGGTCTAGGGAAGAGGTTTGGAAGGAGACCGTTTAGGACACATTACTGGGTGGAGGAGTGCAAAATGTCCTGTGGAGACCGGGAGGAGGAGTCTTGCTAGGGTGTTTGAGGAAGGCTGGCCCCAGGGGCAGGGATGCGACTTAATGACTTCCCCAAGGTCCTCTAGATTCCTCATAGAGCTTATAGGTCTGGGAGAGACACAAAAATGCTGTGATTCCACCTTCCTTTTTCCAATCAATTATTCAAAAGCTCTGAGACTCAGTGCTTGGAGCTTCTGTCAGTCACCGGGTTGTGAGAGGGGAAGGAAATGGCTGCTGTCCTTGAGGCACTTATAATCCTAGAAAAGTGACATTGACACTGGCAGGAATAGGAGCCGGTGAGGCATTGGAGCACGGGACCCTTCTAGAACCATCTGAGGTGGGATTAGTGGGCTCTTCTCTGGCAGGCAGTTGAGGGGGTGGATGAGCCCTTCAGAAGCTGTGGCCCACTGCCTCTCAACCTTCTCTCCCACCCAGTGTTAGGGGAAAGCCATCAAGCCTTTCTCAGAGATGGCTGCTCAGGCAATGTCCCCTCCCCTTCCCGAAGAGAAGTGCTAGGGAAGGAATTGGTATAAATGACCTCTGGGATCTCTCCCAGTTACCTATTATTGATGACCAGTAGCCCACACATGGGCCGAGAATCTATCAAACACAATCCAGCTCTAAATCACGTCTCTCTTGGGCTCAACCCCCACGCCCCAACTTCTCAATGAGCTTGGAACAAGTCATAGCAAACTGTGACATGGCCGGCACTCTCTGTCAGCCACCGTTCTAAGTGCTTTATTCTTAATGCACTTAGCAAGTCAATGAAGGACACATATGATGATCCCTACTTAAAAAGATGAGGAAAGTAAGGCTCAGAGAGGTAAGTGAGTTGCCCAAGGGCACACAGCTAGAGAAGTTTTAGAGCTGGATGGATTCTAGCCAAGCTGGTCTACTTATGGGAATCCATGCCATTAGCTACTCCACTCCCCCATGTGCTTGACCTGGCGGGTGTCTACCTCTCTGGCCAAGCTCAAGCCCCTTCTCCCAGGCATCTGAAATCTCACCCTCCCTGCCTTTATGATCCTTCTCAAAGTACCCCCAGCCCCCATAGCCATTTTCCTCTGGCTTTTCATACTGATGGCTCCTTCTCATCCTTTACGCCTCTTTCTCCAGAGGATTTTGTCTCCGTCCACATGTAACAAAGTACCTTCTCTATTACCTTCTTCCTTATTATTCTTCCAATTCTTTCGTAGTGCTCCTTATAACCAGATGTGATCATTGCTGTCCACTTACTTGTATGTTATTTATTCCCAGTACCTCCTCAGTGTCTGGAACCTAGCAGGTGGCTAATAAGAAACTGTTGACCAGTAAAGGTACCCCCGTGTCCACTTGAGATTATGGCTGGGGTCATTTCTCCCACTGGGATTATGGCTGAAGTCATTTCTTCCAATGAGAGTGAATGCACCAGGCCTTTGTAATGCTGTGCTAGCTCGGTAGGGCCACAATAAGCCTTTGTTGATACAGGAGGCCCCTTCCTTCATATTCCCTCATCTGGTTCCCTTGGTGACAAGGATTTGGGCAACCCGGGCTGGATCAGTGGGCACGGGTGTAGCCCAGAGGAGATCTCACAACGTCGGTTGGGCTACCATTGTTCTCAGACTGATTCAGCCACTGATGCAGATAGAGTGAATGGAAGAAAGAACACAACAGCCGTTTCCAAAGAAGTAAAGGAGGTGGTCTTAGGGGTGGCAGGTGACAGCGGGGTGACGGAAGTGACCCATGTTAACAACAAGGGGAGTAGTCGGGGAAGACTTTCTGAAGGTGTGCCTGGAAGGGAGGGCACAGGGCAGCAGGATGGGGTTCCAGACTCCTTTACACTGAGAATCACATGCCTGTGGGCTGCAGAGGGACTGTCCGTGTGTCTGTGAGGTTCTGGTTGTGAGAAATTCCTTGATTATTCACCTTTGCATGATTGGTTGAAGTTGAAGCTTGTAGTGATTTTCAGAAGAACTTGGAAGTTCCCCTGGGGGTTCTTTACCTGAGGTCTAAGGACCTCCCTATGGAGTCTGTAGATAGAATTTAAGAGGTTCATGGTCTTGGATAGGAAAAAAATTACACCTTTGTTTTCACTAACTTTTAGCTGGAACTTTGCATTTCCTATAAGGAGGAATATCAACCACACCCCCTCAGAGTGCTAGCAATGTTGGTGCCTTGGCCCCCCAGGGAAATCACAGGTCGTTTTGAGGCAATGACAGCTGCTGTAGATACGCCTCGGGATCATTTCTGTTCACCGCCCGTTCTAAATCATGGTACTTATTAAATCTCCTGCCAGATCCTGTTAGCCAACAAATGGGTGAAGGGCGCACATAGAGCCATTTCACAAGCCGATCTTCTTAGATGTTCCTCGGTCGTCTGATGTTGTTGATTTGCAAACATTCTGCGGAAGTGTCCAGAGGGCTTTTCTGGAGAGCTAAAGGAATCCGGGGAACAAAAAAAAGGGGGGCAGGGGGGAGGAATCTCTGCTAAGCAGGAGGAGGGAGAGGGCAGAGAACCACAGGACAGTGCACGTGCACTTGTGTGTACGCAGGAGAGCCTTCCTTTCCCCACCGCTCCAGAATCTACTAGTGAAAGGCAGCCAAGCCCCTTGGTTCTGTCCCCCTCAGTTTCCGTTTCACACTGGTCTGACCAGGCATCCATTCACCTTATCCTGGGTCCCTTCCGAAGAAGCCCGGATTGGGGCTTGCCTCGGTGAGTGAGCAAGAGAACTGCTCTTTCTGACAGCTCAGACCTCCGACTGCTGCCACTTAACAGAAGCTGGGGGTCCTGTTTTCAGAAAGTTCTGGTTTCTGTGTCTGATTTTTCTCCCTGTGCAGTGCTCATCTTGCTGTATTCTTGAAATGAATCTTCTTGATTGTGTCTCAACGGTCCCCAGGGTGACCTGGGCGCTGTCCCCTTGCAGCTAACGTGTAGTTCAAGCCTTTAGCCCAGTTGTTTGGACTCTTGGCAGAAGTCCTCGTGCTTCTTCTCTCCACATCCCCCGGGACCTTACTGCCACTTCCCACCAAGCTACAATCCTACTCTCCTTCCAGTAGGGTAGGCTTCCATGGAACATTGTCTTAGTCTGCTTGGGCCGTGGGAACAAAATACAGATGGGGCAGCTTATAAGCAACAAAAATGGACTTCTTACAGTTCTAGAGGCTGGAAAGCGCAAAAGCCAAGCCTCCAGCAGATTCAGCGTCTGGTGAGAGCCCATTCGTAGACCCTGCTCTGTCCTCACCATGGGGAAGAGGTGAGGGAGCTCTCTAGGGCCATTTCTGTAAGGGCACAGATTTCGTTTATGAGGGCTCCGCCCTCAGGACCTGATCATCTCCCAAAGGCCTGCCTCCTCGTAGTATCTCCTCAGGGGCTAAGTTTCAACTGATGAATTTGGGGGGCGGGGGGACATGGACATTCATATTTTAGCAAACATGAATAAATTAATTCTAGGTTTTTATGAAATAACGAAAACAAGTGCTGAGTTGGTATCCAACGATGTAGGTACAGAGGAATCTTTTCCCCCAAGATCAGGGAGTGTGTTTTTCATTTTTCTGGTGTCCCTGACAATATCCGGTGTGACGCTGGGCCCATGATAACCCTTGAATGTATTTTGTGAATGAGGGGGTTGTATTGCAACTCACGCTCACTAAGAGGAAAGGTGAAAAGGAGGGCAAAGCGGTAAGGATTTATTTCCCTCAGATTTGAAGTCAAGTCCATGTATGTTTGGTCTTGCACTGGGGGGCAGGCAAGGGCAGGGCGTGGTTGGACAGCCCCTGCCATGTTCATATTCTGCCCCTTGATGGGGATGCAGGTCACCCAAGCGTTTTGTCCACTTTGTGAAAGAAAATTCACTCAGCTCTACATTTAGGATTTGTGCATGTTTCTCTGTAGAGTTAGACTTCAGTGAGGTTGTCATTGAAATTTTTCATGTTGGGATACAGTGTTCGTCAACACTAACTTAGTACCAAGTCACTGTTTTTATGCCTGGGGGGACTTCGGGGTTATCATCAAGAGACAAGGCCCTCCTCTTTTGTGATCTGTTACATAGTACCTGGTCCCTCGCTCTGTCCGCTTTCCGCTGCTACTTCTGTGGCCACCTTCTTCCTGGGACTGGGGCCTTGAGATTATCAGTGTGGCCCGATCAGCCCTCACCTGCCTTGTTCTCCTCTT